GCGCCCGGCACTCGGCGCAGCGGTAGTCCTGGCTGTCCAGGCCCGACTCGGGGCAGATGCTCAGCTCGTACTCGGCCTGGTGGCTGACCTTGGAGCGGACGCAGGGCTTGGAGACCAGGTTCAGGCACTTGCTGTGGCAGCGGTAGTAACACCCTGGGGAGAGGGGCGGCCCCCCGCACCCGCTGCCCATCCGAAGCCTGGAGCTGGGGGCACGCGCCCACCGGCCGGCTGCGGGGCCGCAGACCCGGGGCCCAGCCTTCCTCACCAGATCGCCACAAACAGCCTGGGCGCCCAGACACCGTCCTCCCCCCACTAGGCAGATGCCCACGCCAGGGCCCCGGCCCCGCCAGCCTCCGGCCCAGGCCCGGCCACTCCGTGCTCCCACAAACTGTGCTCCCCGGCAGAGCGCCCCCGGCAGGGCCCCTCCTCAGACACAGCTGCAGGCCCTGGCAGACAGCAGGAACACCGTGCTCGCCCCAACCTCCATCGTCCACGCCCTCATCACCTGGCTGTCCTCATCCCGGTCCCCCCGGGGCCACACAGCCCCGGGTGCCCTTCCCCACGGGGGACGTTCTCAGCCTCCTCCTGGAGCCAGGGGGAGCTCAGCCCCTTCGCCCCAGACTGGGCAGTGGCAGGCCGGGCCCTGGGCAAGCTCCGGGCGCCTGGCCGGCCCGCGGCCGCGCACCTGTGCAGGTGTACCAGGTCTGGATGAGCCCCCAGATGACGGCACTGCACTTGTCGCAGGTCTGCTTGACGCTCTTGCTCTTCTCCTTGTAGAAGCGGTGCTCCAGCAGCACCCGGATGTTGGGCTCCTCCTCGTTGGGGTCCTGGGGGCCGCGGGACGGTGAGCCAGTGGGGGCCGGCCGGGCACAGCCCGGCCACGCTGAGGCCGCAGGCAGCATCACGCCCGGGACGGAGCAACAGAGGAGGGCGGGGCCCCGCGGGAAACCACACGGGGACCCTCAACCCCATGATCGGCGTGTGCCACCGCGGCCTGACCCCTGGCCCCGGGACGGGCCAGTGCGGGCATGGGGGACCCGCGGGTGCACACGAGAGGGCCCCTGTGCCACAGCCTGGCGCCAGGCCCGGCCGCTGCTGGGGGCAGCCGCCGGGTGGCAAGGCTCAAGCTCACCCACACGCGGCTGGGCGGTGCTGACCACTGGGACTGGGCAGTGAGTGCTGTGGGCGGCCGGGCCCGCTGGGGCCCAGGACCCCACCCGGGCTGGAGGGGCCCACTCCTGCAGAGCTGCTCCCAGCCAACGCCCGGGGGCTGGGGCCGCCGAATCCTCTGCCTGCCCAGCTGCTGAGTGGCTTCGCCAGGGGCCGCCGGCGCCCACCTTCAGCTCCTGGAGCTTCAGGCGCAGGTGGATGAGCCTGACCACGGCGTCCTTCTGCTTCTCCGACTGCTCGGGCAGCTCCAGGATGGCCTGCTTGCACTCCTCGATGGCCTGCCGCAGCTGCTGCACGTCAGAGGCCAGGAGCAGGCCCTGCGGGCGGGGCCGTGGGCAGGGGCCGGCACTCGTGCCCAGACCCGCAGCCAGGACCCTGGGTCAGGCCCGGCGTGCCCGCTGGGGGGCACTGCCGGACCCCGAGCCCCAACACAGGACACTGCTCAGAGCCCGCGCTGGCCCACGCCCCCACCCCAACCTCGCAGGGCCCCGCCAGGCTGGACACCGCACCGTGGGGGGAGGCAGGAGAGCCGCGGCGGCCGGCTGAAGAGGCCACAGGAGGCCATCCTCACCCCTGGGGCCACGGGGAGAGCTGAGCCTGCGGGCAGGGCCTTCCTGGGGGCGCTGCACCCTGAAGCTGCTGCGGCCGTCGCAGCACATCCGGCCAGGGAGGGGCCCCGGGCGCGGCGGGCCTCTGCGGACCCGCCTGCTGCCCCTCAGCCGGCCTGTCTGCTCCCGCTCTGTCTCTGGTGAGCCCTCCCACTCCCTTACCCCCACATCTCTGGCCTCTACCCCAGTTCTTGTACACGTACATAAATAAATCTTAAAAAAAAAGGAGGCTCGGGCAGACAGAGCCCGGCCTCGGGACCCCGGAAGCCCCGTCAGGGCCACCGTGTGTCTCCAGCACAAGCGGGAGAGGATTTGCAACAACTCGAGTTTGAAACTTAAAAAAAATAACATTAGAGTCCTTTTTTATTGAAAAAGCAGAACTCCCAAAATTGGATGCCTGGGTCAAAAAGATGCAGTACATATACACAGAGGAATATTACTCAGCCGTCAAAAAGACCAACGCGCGCCTTTGCAGCAGCAGGGACCGTGCTGAGTGACATGAGCCAGAAAGAAAGGGAAACGCCCTGGCGGGCCAGGCGGGAAAGTAACAATAATGAGCAGCAGCTATAGACCAGAGACATTTTGTGGGGCTGGAGTGGGGGGCAGGATCAAAAAAGTCGGGGAGCGTGCAGCAGACTGTGCTGACGGCACAGGGCGACTGGCGATGGGAAGCCCACGGGGATGACAGCAGAGATGGAAAAAGCACCAAATGATGCAAAACAAACGCTTACATTATTTTTTGAAAAACAGGTTTTCCTGGCATGAGCTAGAGGCGGTCCTGGGGGCTGGGGTGGGGGCGCAGGGCCCCCGACACGGGCCGGGGCCTGGGCCAGGCGGGCGCCCCACAGCCCCGGAGCCTTACCACAGGGCGGGAGAAGTGGTCCTCGGACAGCCC